GCGCCTGGCCAGCCCTCTTCCCTTTCTCACCCTTCCTGGGTATAGGTTAAATAATGCTGTTGCTGCCTACTAAGGAATGAAACACTTACTAGCAGTCCTCACACTTTTTCTGACAATTTATTGCTTTCCTTTTTAGAAGTAATCACCTTAAAAGATAACATCATCATAAAAAAAGTATCATCATGTTTCCCTAATGAGTTGAAAATTTTAGGAGGTAATGAACAGTATTAAAAAGCCTCTTGTATCTTATAACTCATGCATACATACATAATTATGTACTAAAACATACTAATCTTTCCTAGGAATAGTTTTCAAAGAAGTTTGAGAATTTAAAAAGTAGGCTCATGAAAATTTAGACATAGTATACTGCCAGGCATGGTGGCTCACACATGTAATCCCAGCACTTTGGGATCGCTTGACCCCAAGAGTTCAAGACCAGCCAGGGCAACATGGTGAAATCTCATCTTTACAAAAAAATACAAAAAGTAGCCAGGCATGGTGGTACGTGCCTGTCATCCCAGCTACTTGAGAGGCTGAGGCAAGGGGATTGCTTGAGCCCAGGAGGCAGAGGTTGGAGTGAGGAAGAGATTATGTCACTACACTCTAACCTGGGCAACAGAGAGAGACCCTGTCTCAAAAAACAAAACAAAACAAGTATACTTAAGTCCCTTTCAACTTGATTTATACATTCCTTTCATATTATATGTCCTTCCTAAGTACTTTGCTAAAAAATTTTTAAATGGCCTTGGTTCAAAAATTGGTAAGTCTTGACATTTTTAATCTGGAGAAACAAAATACAAATTAGAATTTAAATCTCATAAGGCTCTTATTACCTACACCAAGATCTATGTACTTCTAAATTCCTTATCTTACCACTATGTATTTTGTGATAGGTGGCATATTTTGGATATATTCACATATGTAATATTCAATATCTTATTTTTTAAAAGTACAGCTGACTACATATATAGCAATAATTCAAGTCTGTGAACAATAGCAGCAAAAACCACCCAAGAAACTTACTTGAGCATAACGTCAGATTCTGCCACAATTTCTTTAAGTTTAGCTTTTGGTAAAGCTTGTTCAACAAGCAAACCATGTGATTTAGTATACCTGGAGTTTACGACCAAAGGAAAAAAGAGTATCAATTAAGACAAACTAAAATTATTATCTTTATTACAAAGCATTCTTCCATGTGAGAAAATCTGTTCCTCATATTTGGATTTAAATTTTAGAGACTGAAATTCATCACTAATGAATGTAGACCTCATGTCTCAAAATGTGATATGCATGTTCTTACTGAGTTTCCCAGTCCTCCCAAACCCAGACTTAGCTTAAATATGTTAGTAAGGTAATGAAAGGAAACTAGCTGTAAACCTTTCCTAATTCTACAGATAAAAACTCGATCCAACCTATGGGTGCATAATCCTTTTTCTGATTACAGTAAAATGAATTACAGCAAACACACTTTTAAAATTTGTTTGTAGTTTGAATTTTTTACATACTGAAGATGCTATTTAGTGAGCAAGAGAGAAAATCTGTTATGCATAGATTAGCCTGCTTTATGTAAAAAACACCTATAATCATAGCATTTCAGTATAAAGGGCCCTTAGACTCTCTAACCCATTACAATTATGTAAAGAGTCATTAAAAACAGAAAGAAAAGAAAAAAAAAGCCTAACTCTTCATCTGATACCTAAAAATACCCCTATAATATTCCTAAGTCACCCTCCTCCCTGCCTGGGTCAGCTTCTATCACGTCAGTAAACTCATTCTCCCAGGGAAGCTTATTCCATTGCCAGAAAACTCTAATTGCTAGACAGGCTTTTCTTTTCTCATGCTGAAATCAATCTTATATCTTCCAAGTCTTGTTCCAGTCCTGCTGCTACCAGTTTGTAGAGTTAAGTCTAATATCTTTTCAACATTTAATACCATAAATACAGATGAAGCGTTCAACTGTTAGGTAATGGGACAATAAAGACAAATCATTCCTGGTCTCCTAAGATTTTAAAACAAGTTGTTGCTTCTCAAATCAAAGCATTTTCTATTCCTTGAAATGTTCCTCAAGTGGGAGGGCCCAAATTCCTCTGATTATTCTGGTGGACTACTCTGACTCCTTTAAGTTTATGATCTATTTTTTTTTTTTTTGGTCCCTATTGTCATGGTTTTTTTAACAGCATTCTTCCAGAACCCAACACAATGCTTTCAGTGTGATCTGCTTGGAACACTGCATTTTGATTAATGCAACCAAAGGTTGATTTTTTGGTAACCATATCACCAGCTGGCTCTAATTGAGTTCAGAGTCAGTTTAAATCCTCATACCTTTTCTTTACACATTAAGCCACATCTTGTCCATATACTTAAAAAAAAATTCTTGTTTTTAATTTGAGACTTAAATGCAGGACTTTTATTTCTACTGGACTTCACCTTAACTAAGTAAAACAAAAGGAATCCTAAACTGTTAGAGAGATTAGATAATTAGAGCTAATTTTGTTATTCAATGTTCTAACTTGCATAATTTATTAATCTGTTTGTTTGCACTACAGATAAAAAATAAGCCATCCGTTGTAACTGCAGTGTTGTTTTATTATTTTTTTAAATCCTCCTACTGCCTAATATACACTTACCATTCCACCATATAAGGGTACTTCTCTTCTACAGTAAGAACAGGATCAACTTCAATAGCGTAATATTTTTCCTTTAGTTGCAATAACTAGGAAGATATGAATAATTTAATCATGAAGATTACATGAAGATATATCTGCTTGGTTTTAGAAAGCAAAACAATGTAAGCAAGTATTTTCAATAAACTGCTTTATAAGTTAAGCTAATGCATCAATTGAAAAAATATTTGTTGATCTTAGTTGATATGTAATCACATACACCTGCAAAAAGCTACCTTTCTTTTGTAAAGTACTTTCAGGTGAGTAAAAAACCAACAGTAAAATTATCAGTACAAAAAACACTTTAGTTTTCATATAAAGGTATTAAATTTGATTCACATTTCAAATTGCATTTTGTTAAGATATACACAGATACATACTCAAGCAAAGTACTGAAGCAACTTCCTCATCAACTTAAAGGAGCAAAACCTACAGAAAACCAAAGTACTTTTGTTTTAAATCTCCAGTTAACGTTGCAACACCAGAATACTTTGGTGATCATTTAAGAGTTTTAAATATAAGTTTTGTTGTTAAAAGTTACTGTGAATTTTTATCTCTAAAATGTGTTTTGAATGTGTAATTCATGCAGCAAACCTACTATTTACTGCATGCTTACTATGTGCCAGGTATGGCTGTAAGCACTTTACGTCCATTCTTACTTGTGTGAATGCACCTGAAGAAATTCTCAGGCAAAAAGGGTAATGAAGTCTTCGAGTGACTATGGATCATTGTTAGTGTTTACCTTTTTTCTACATTCATCTGTAACCAGCTTACAGTTGTCAATGATATCTAAAGATAGAAAGCAAAATAAGCATTAAAAGAAATACTCTGATTGATGCTACCACTACTATGAATAATTTGCTATAAAGTAATGGCAAAAAACTCAATTACTTTTGTAGCAACCCAATACTTTTAAGTAATGCCAAGTCAACTAGCATGGTTATTATAACTTTTGGTCTCAGTGGTATAATTCACATGACACTGTTAGGGAAGCTAATGGTTTAAAATCTGAGATTTAGTGACTGCTCGCTTACACCACTGAGATAGACAATTCAATATCTTCAAACACTATGAACTGTGTATTGATCACTTCCATTTTCTCCTTTGTAATTAAATAGAAGAAACACATATGGGAAATACATTTTTTTCTTAATAAAAAGGTAATAAATGCTTAATGTAAACACCTGGAAAATCTAGACCACTGTAAAGAAGAAAACAAAAACTGAATGGTAAAAAGTTTTACCATTCAATAGTAAGTAGTGAACAATATTTTAGTATATTTCCTTTCAGTCTTAAGATTTCATGTATATCAATTAGATAAGAGATGATACTAAATCTGTAATTTTGAATTTTCTTTTTCATTTCACATTGTAGTCTGCATTTTTCCATGTAATTAAAATTTCTGGTATGTGAGCAGAAAATAATTTATATCATTTCTGCAGCATTAACCTTTTTAGGTTGCTTCCAAGCATCTGCTATTAGTAATAATTTTATGTTGAGCTGAGTCACCACTATTTTTGTGAATAAAGCTTTTTTAAAAACTGCATTTGGGATTACTTACAAATTTTCTAAAGAGGACTTAATAGGGCAAAGGATATAAATATTTTTAGTGTCTTTTTTTTTTTTTTTTTCCTGAGACAGGGTCTTGTTTTGTCATCCAGGCTGGAGTGCAGTGGTGTGATTACGGCTCACTACAGACTCGCCCTCCCAGGCTCAAGGATCCTCTCAGCCTCCCAAGTGAGTATCTGGGACCACAAGCACGCCACAATGCCCAGCTGATTTTTTATTTTTTTGTAAGAAAAGGTCTTATCATTACATTGCTCAGGCTGGTCTCAAACTCCTGGGCTCAAGTGATTATCCCACCTCCACCTCCTAAAGTGCTGGGATTACAGGCGTGAGCCACTGTGCCTGGTGATTTTTAGCATTATTTTAAATACAAATTATCAAACTAATTTTTTTTTCTTTCTTTCTTTTTTTTTTTCAAGATGAAGTTTCACTCTGTTGCACAGGCTGGAGTGCAGTGGTGTAATCTTGGCTCACTGCAACCTCCACCTCCCGGGTTCAAGAGATTCTCTTGCCTCAGCCTCTTGAGTAGCTGGGATTACAGGTGCCCGCCACCACGCCCAGCTAATTTTTGTATTTTTACTAGAGACAGGGATTCATCATTTTGGCCACGCTGGTCTCGAACTCCTGACTGCAAATGATCTGCCCACCTCAGCCTCCCAAAATGTTGAGATTACAGCCATGAGCCATCGTACCCGGCCCCAGAATAATTTTTCAATTTACACATGTACTAAAAACAAATGAGAGAGTTCATTTCACCGTTTTCCTGTCAGGTTGAAGAGTGTTATTTTAAAAACTCACAGCCAAGTTGGAAAACAAAAAAGATATTAAAATTTGGTAAAATTCCTAGAAAACAGAGTATTTGATAAATGCCGCTTCTTCAGGTTAACCCAAAGTTTACAACCTATTTAAATATTTCTTGAATAATGAATAGACCATATTTGGCAAGAAATATTTCAGGAGTCTCCGATTCCCTTTGCTACCAAAACCATACATGAAAATAGCCATTCATATAATACAGGGAAAAAAAACCCTCAAAAATATAATAAGAAAAAGCAGGTCTCCTCACTGTCAATGTCCATAAATAATTTTAAAAACCCAGTTATCTCACAGGTAATATAGATAAAGAGGATCTTAAAATAATGATGACATGCTTTTGTGAATTTGTTTACAAATACCATACTTACTATGACATGTTGGGCATCTTTTCCCTTTGTATGAAAATCTACTGAGTGTCATATCGAAGTCTGTTATTATCTGTAAGAAAAGAGTGAAAGGCATTATTGTAAACACAGCCCACATGGCCAGAATTTCTCTGTGCTACCCAAACACATACTTCATGCTTTCCTAGATGCATAGGACTGTGTTCAGTCTCTGGTCCACACTGTTAAGTTATTTTCTTTACACTGAATCTTCTCATGTGGTTCATTTATAAAGTCCTGGGAATAATCTTAACTACAAGGTGCTACCTTGAGTGCCCTAGCACTGTCGCCAAATAAGTCTGAGTAGTAATGCAGCCATAAAAAACAAAGAGATGCTGTCATTTGCAGCAACATGGGCGAGCCTGGAGGTCATTATCTTACGTGAAATAAGCCAGGCACAGAAAGACAAATATTACGTATTCTTATTCATATGTGAAAACTAAAAAACTTGATCTCATGGAGGCAGAGAGTAGAAAGATGGTTACCAGAGGCTGGGAAAGGTGGGAGGGATGGGGAGATAAAGAACAGTTGATGAATGGTTACGAAAATACTGTTAGAAGATGGCCGGGCGCGGTGGCTCAAGCCTGTAATCCCAGCACTTTGGGAGGCCGAGACGGGCGGATCACGAGGTCAGGAGATCGAGACCATCCTGGCTAACACGGTGAAACCCCGTCTCTACTAAAAAAATACAAAAAACTAGCCGGGCGAGGTGGCGGGCGCCTGTAGTCCCAGCTACTCGGGAGGCTGAGGCAGGAGAATGGCGTAAACCCGGGAGGCGGAGCTTGCAGAGAGCTGAGATCCGGCCACGCACTCCAGCCAGGGCGACAGAGCAAGACTCCGTCTCAAAAAAAAAAAAAAAAAAAAAAAAAAAAAAGAAAATACTGTTAGAAGGAGTAAGTTCTAATGTTTACACAGTAGAATGACTATAGTAAACAGTATTTTATTGTATATTTCAAAATAGCTAGAAGAAAAGGTTTAGAATGTTCCCCAAAAAAGAATATTAGAAATGGCAGATATCCTAATTACCTGATTTGATTATTACACATTTTATATACATATGAAAACATCACATGTACCCCATATATATATACAGTTATTATGTATCAACTTTAAAAACTGAAAAAATCCAGCTGGGCGTGGTGGCTCATGCCTGTAATCCCAGCACTTTGGGAGGCCAAGGTGGGGAGATCATTTGAGGTCAGGAGTTCGAGACCAGCCTGGCCAACATGGTAAAACCCTGTCTCTACTAAAAATACAAAAATAGCCAGGTGTGGTGCATGTGCCTGTAATCCTACCTACTGAGGAAGCTGAGGCAGGAGAATCGCTTGAACCTGGGAGGCATAGGTTGCAGTGAGCTAAGATCATGCCACTCTACTCCAACCTGGGTGACAGAGTTAAGACTCCGTCTCGAAAAAATAAAATAACATAAATAAATAAAAATAAAAATTTGAAAACATCTGATTAATTGGTATGGGAATTTGCAATTGCAGGTGATATGGTTACTCTTCTCACTAGAGATTTTCAACAAACTTGGTCAATACACAAATATGCAGTGGAAGTAATTCAACTATACGAAGCTCTCAGTTACTGATACTGTTACATGCTGGATTTAACTTGCTTATTTAAGGTAAACTATACCCATGAATGAATGCACATTGAAATAGCTGGCCAGCTCTTGAAACTTAGGAGACTGCGTTAAATATTATTTTTCAGAAATGTTTTAAAAAAGCAGTATTTTTTTTTTACAGAATATCCAGATTGTTGATTTAATTTACATGTAACATATTCCTTTAAAACAGAGAAAACTTTTTAAAAACTCAACTATCCCCTTAATAAAGTTACATCTTAATTTGAACTACTATGATTAAAACATGAAAGAGCAACTTAAAACTATACCCTTTTAAATATTATCCTTAAAATGGTTTAATGCTTATACACAGCATGAGTTAGCTTAGTACTGAAGACTAATAAAAACTTAAGAGTATTTCATGGTTATTAATTTTTCTTTTTCCAATAGGGTATTCCGTCTATTTTAGAAAAACTCAAGATATATATTTTCTGGATTTTATATTCCTAAAGGATAGGCAAAAACTGTCTACCTAAACTTGCTGTACTCAGATTTTATCAAACAGGAGATGAATGAGTCTGCTTTAACATCAAAAATAAAATAAGGCTGGGCCATGACGGCTCACGCCTGTAATCCCAGCACTTTGGGAGGCTGAGGCGGATGGATCACTTGAGGCCAGGAGTTTGAGACCAGCCTGGCCAATGTGGCAAAACCCTGTCTCTACTAAAAATGTAAAAATTAGCTGGGCGCGGTGGCAGGCACCTATAATCCCAGCTGCTCTGGAGGTTGAGGTGGGAGAATTGGTTGAACTGGGAGGCAGAGGTTGCAGTGAGCTGAGATTGTGTCACTGCACTCCAGCCTGAGCAACAGAGCAATACTCAGTCTCAAAAACCAAAAAAAAATTAGCTGGGTGTGGTAGCTGGCACCTGTAATCCCAGCTGCTCAGGAGGCTGAGGTATGAGATTGCTTGAACCTGGGAGGAGCAGTGAGCCAGGATCGTGCCACTGCACTCCAGCCTGGGCAACAGAGTGAGACTCCATCTCAAAAGAAGAAGAAGAAGAAAAAGAAGCCTTTATTATTAAGCTTTTATTTTATTTTTGAGTGCAGTGGCATGATCTCAGCTCACTGCAACCTCCGTCTCCTGGGGTTAAGTGATTCGCCTGCCTCAGCCTCCCAAGTAGCTGGGATTACAGGCATGCGCCACCAGGCTTGGCTAATTTTTGTACTTTTAGTAGAGACAGAGTTTCACCATGTTGGCCAGGCTGCTCTCAAACTCCAGACCTCAGCCTCGTCCACCCGCCTCGGCCTCCCAAAGTGCTGGGATTACAGGTGTGAGCCACTGTGCCTGGTCATTTTTTTTTTTTTTTTTAAACAGAGATGGGGTCTCACTATGTTGCCCAGGCTGGTCTCAAACTCCTGGGCTCAAATGATCTCCTGCTTCAGTCTCCCAAAGTGCTGGGATTACAGGCATGAGCCACCACACACAGCCAAGGCCTCTTGATTATTCACCTGAAGTTTGGCAGCTCCTCCTTTGATAAGACCACAGATAATTTCTTCTACTCTTGTAGGGTTCTTGATTCGAACTGAACTTTTCTGGAATTCTGGCATCTAAAGAGTAAAAGAAAATTAATTAGTTTTCATTCTTCTTTCCTCAGGTTCCTTTGATACCAACCAGAAGCTTGTCTTATTTAAAGACATAAAAATGCTAAGGCATTATTTTTAAAAAGCAAGCCACCACATCAAATTACCATTTATTTTTCTTATTACTACTCTTTTAGACATGCTGTCTTGTTTTGTCACCCAGGCTGAAGTGCAGTGGCACAATCCTAGCTCACTGTAGCCTCAAACTCCTGGGCTCAAATGCTCCTCCCATCTCAGCCTCCTGAGTAGGTAGAAGGCATGCGCCATCATACCCAGCTAATTTTTAAAATTTTCTGTAGAGGTGAGTGAGGTCTTGCTATGTTGCTCAGGCTGATCTTGAACTCCTGGCCTCAAGCAATCCTCCCACCTTGGCCTTCCAAAGTCCTGGGATTAAAAGTGTGGGACACCAAGCCCAGCTCCCACATTACCATTTATACACACAGAAATACTTAAAATGTATCAGTATTTTCTAGCTACAGAGTAAGACAAAACTACATTTGTGATTCAATTACATTATCAGAGAGTATATCTTTTTCTAATTATAAAAGCTATGCATGCTTACCACAGAAATAACAGTAAAAATATAAAAAAGACAATAAAAACTGCCTGGAGTTCAACTACTTGAAGAGAAACAAGTAACATTTAAATTTATTTTCTATTAGTTTCATTTTTGTGATTTTTCTATTAGTTTCATTTCTGGGTTGTGATGCAATCCAGTCAGAGCCCAGAAATGATATTTTAACCATGAATACCCCAACAGCTACCCCGTGATTGATGTAATTTTTCTAAAAATCTTAAGATGACCCCCCATTAAGCCTCCATTTTATATAATACAATAGTTAAACTTCCACCCTAATACTAATATAATACCTTAAGAATATCCCTCTGAAACATGCATATAGATGTACATAGTTTTAGCTCATCCTCATTATATACTTTTGCATCTGGCTTTTACAAACACATACATACATTTAGCTTGCCTATATATTTATATTTTCAAATGTTCCTGAGCAGAAAGGAAGCAATTATCATGATTATTCCCCCAAAAGTTTGTCTTTGTATAATTAAAATATATTTAAATTATTTAAAAATTGAAAAGCTGCTTCAAGATCTTTGCTCTTTTTATTGTACTATTTCCCAAATAATATACTGTTCTTGGCACATATTTTACAATAGATTTATTTCAAATTGAGATAACTGCCAAAAAGTATTGTGCCAGGCACAGTGGCACATGCCTGTAATCCCAGCTACTTGGAAGCTGAGGTAGGATCATTGGAGCCCAGGAGTTTGAGACCAGCCTGGGCAACATAGCAAGATCCATCTAAAACAATGGATGTAGTAGGCTGCTACTACAGAGTTATGAAGACTTTAGGGTTGCTCAACAATTTAATCTTAAGTATTATTTCTTGTTACTAGCTACTTTATCACAAATAGAATGAAACTGATTAGAGGAAAAATCAGTACAAGCTCTTACAGCACACGTACAATACAACAAGGAGGAGAAAATTATGCCTCATTTTATAATCAGTTATACAGTATAGGCAGTAATAGTACCTCAAATTCAGGCTCTATACTGGTTTGTATTGGATAATCTTTATTTATATATTTTTATTCTGGCTATGTTATTGGTAATATTAACATAGTTCATGTGTGTCATGGACATGGTTATAAAAATTCCCTGGACCTTCTATCTTTGCTACGAGAGAATCTGACCAGGTAAATCTATCGGATAATGTGTTGTTCCTACATAATGTGCAAGAGTAGAAAAATCAGAAAAAGGCTAGCCTGTCTCCCAAAGACTGGAAGATGATAATGAAAGTGTAGAGGAAAGAGGCCGGGCACGGTGGCTCATGCCTGTAATCCCAGCACTTTGGGAGGTTGGGGCGGGCAGATCACGAGGTCAGGAGATCAAGACCATCCTGGCTACCATGGTGAAACCCCGTCTCTACTAAAAATACAAAAAATTAGCTGGGCGTGGTGGCGGGTGCCTGTAGTCCCAGCTACTTGGGAGGCTGCAGCAGGAGAATGGTGTAAACCCGGGAGGCGGAGCTTGAAAAAAATAAAGAAAGTGTAGAGAAAAGAGAAGTGCTAACATTAAAATTTTCTCCATGGATGAAAGATCTACCACCTACAATACACTTAATTTTAAAAAGCCATATTTAAGTAGGATGACCTGCAATGTAAGTAAACTTGATGTAGTAATCCTTTTAACTTAACTGAATGAGTTTCAATAGATTAAAGGTTATGTATTTTATAGTGATTTTTCAATAGATGGAAAGGCAGATAGGCACTAGTTCCTACATTCTTTTTTTTCATACATTAACCCATTCACTCGCCTAACTAATATTTACCATGTGTCTACTTTGTGCCACACACTCTTGCTAGATGCTAGGGATATGATGAGTAGTATTTACTCTGCGTTTCTGCTGAGTTTTAGGGATGACTGCTGTTTTGGAATATCACTTCTGTAATTACCTTAAAATAACTCAGCTAATAAGTTTATCTCTTGACAACTAATTTCTGTTCTTACTTCAGCCTTAACTGGCAGATGCACAGCAATCAGCATATGTTTGATTCAATAACCAATCCATTATGGTGAAAGCAACACAGGATATAGATCATAGACTATTTTTTCACCAAAAAAATTAAATATTCGATTTCAGTGTACCCATACTAAGACATCTTGCCTCAGACAAATGACAGCTTCAAGTTTTTGATAATGGATAGGAGAATCACACCAAGACCACTTTGAAGAAGGCTGGTTTCTGCTACACTGACAAATGTAAGATTGGTTTATTTTATTTTTATAGAGATAAGGTCTTGCTATGTTGCCCAGGCTGGCCTCGAACTCCTGGGCTCAAGCAATCTCCCCGCTTCAGCCTCCCAAAATGCTGGGATTACAGGTGTGAGCCACCACGCCCGGCTAATACTGGTTTACTATAAATCACAATGGACGAAAGAGAACTGGTAGCTAAAGGCACTGGTGGCTGGCTCCTGTACAACATACAACCATTAATTTTCAGATAAATAAGTAGTGAATACACAAATGGCACGGGAGTAAAATAATGATGAAATAGGTGTAAGAAATATAAAAATGACCATTCTATCTGTCTTGGGTTATGTAGTATACTATACTCCTCTCCTGCAATACACAATCAATGCCACTGATCTGTATGAGAAATACTTCACAAGAACTTGAGATATTGGGTATTTTACTCAAATACTTTATAATATAGCCTAAGAAAGATAATCAAAGACTCCTGTATGGAATATGTCAAAGAGTAACATAATATAAGCACACTGTAGAAGTATGATGAAATACATCACATACTTTTTGTTGTTGTTGTTGAACATGCCCCAACTGTTGCATGAGATCACATACTTTTGTTACCTCCACAAAGTCCTTCTGTCTATATCCCTCTTAGAAAAACACAGACATGGTTTGGTGGCACATAAATAATGATACTTCAAATTTGAAGGGCAAATTATTTTGAATTGTCTGAAAAATTTTCAATGTGATTATGATATAATTTTATGAAAAATAAATAAGAAGCTAAAAATTTCCATCATTTGTGATAAAAAGAGAACAAATTCATTTTATAGTAAAGCCACAGTGTAAAATATTAGGGAGGGAGAAATGCCTTCCTGAAAAGAATCAGGGTATGTTGGTTGATTGATGCCAAATCTGAATCAACACCAAAAATGATTAAGAAAGACCTAAAACACATTTATTTTGACCAATATAAAGATGAAATGGATTTCAAAGTTATGCCATTTTTATCCACAACTCAATTGCAATATTAGATTATTTGATATGATCTTGTAGATACACTGGAACAAGATAAAAATGAGAAGCTCCAAGGTACAGTTGCCAAATTTTGGGTGTGGCTTGGTATCATCAATCCAATGATAATGTTCCAGACTAGGGATAATCCTAATTTCCAGGATGAGATTATGAAAACTTCAAAGTTTAATTCTGTTTGAACTAGACTTCAAATTATATTAAATTCTGATTAAAAAAGAAAACATGGCCAGGCATGGTGGCTCATGCCTGTAATCCCAGCACTTCAGGAGGCCAAGGCGGGAGGACCACTTGAGCTCAGCAGTTCGAGACCAGGCTGGACAACATGGCGAAACCCCATCTCTACAAACAATACAAAAATTAGCCAGGCATGGTGGTGCACATCTGTAGTCCCAGATACTCGGAGGCTAAGGTGGGAGGACTGCCTGAGCCTGGGAGGCAGAGGTTGCAGTGAGCCGACATCATGCCACTGCACTCCAGCCTAGGTGACATAGTGAGACCTTGTCTCAAAAAACAGATAAATAAATAAATGAAAAAAATTCATATTTTAACCAAGACTAAAAAAATTACTTGTACTTTTAATTTACAAATATATATGTTAATCCATATGAGTTTCATTTATTTATTATTTTTAAAATTTGTTTGGCTGGGCACAGTGGCTGATGCCTGGAATCCCAGCACTTTGGGAGGCCAAGGCCAGCGGATCACCTAAGGTCAGGAGTTTGAGACCAGCCTGGCCAACATAGTGAAACCCTCTCTCTATTAAAAATACAAAAATTAGCCGGGCATGGTAGCACATGCCTGTAATCCCAGTTACTTTGGAGGCTGAGACAGGAGAATTGCTTGAACCCAGGAGGCGGAGGTTGCAGTGAGCCGAGATGGCACCACTGCAGTCTAGCCCGGGTGACAGAGCGAGACTCTGTCTCAAAAACAAACAAACAAAAAAAGGCCGGGCACGGTGGCTCATGCCTGTAATACCAGCACTTTGGGGGGCCAAGGCAGGCATATCACCAGAGGTCAGGAGTTCGAGATCAGCCTGGGTAACAGGGTGAAACCCTGTCTCTACTAAATATACAAAATTAGCACCACACACCTGTAATTCCTATTACTTGGGAGGCTGAGGCAGGAGAACTGCTTGAACCTGGGAGGTGGAGGCTGCAGTGAGCCAGGATTTTGCCACTGCACTCCAAGCCTGGGTGACAGAGTGAGACTCGGTCTCCAAAAAAAAAAAAAAAAAAATTTACTTTTTTATTTTTATTTTTTGAGGCAGGGTCTTGCTCTGTCACCCAGGCTGGAGTGCAGTGGCGTGATCTTGCCTCACTGCAACTTTCAACTCCTGGGCTCAGGCGATCCCCCCACCTCAGCCTCTCAAGTAACTGGGACTATAGGGGCTCACCACTACTCTTGGCTAATTTTTGCATTTTTTTATAGAAAGAGGGTTTTGAAGTGTTGCCCAGGCTGGTCTTGAACTCCTGGGCTCAAGCAATCTGCCTGCCTCAGCATCCCCAAGTGTTGAGATTACAGGCATCAGCCACTGCACCTGACCTATTTAAAATTTGTTTTTGAGACAAGGTCTCACTCTGTCAACCAGGCCGGAGTGCAGTGGCATGATCACAGCTCACTGCAGCCTTGACATTCTGGGCTCAATAGATCCTCCCACTTTAGCCTCCAGAGTAGCTGGGACTACGGTCACCTGCCACTATGCCCAGCTAATTTTTCAATTTTTGTAGAGACAGGTCTCACTATGTTGCCCAGGCTGGTCTCAAACTCCTGAGCTCAAATGATCCTCTCGCCTTGGCCTCCCAAAGTGCAGGGATTACAGGCATGAGCCATAGCACCCAGCCTCAGTGAATTTTAAATTACCTTAGTATTATCCTACATTTTTCTGGAAATAGCCCACATAAAAATTAGTTTGAATCACTTAAGAAATTTCAGTCAGATGTTTTCAGAGAAATATTCTTTCTTGGTTTTCCACTGTTTATATTTGGTAGCAACAAAAGACTTCATTACTGCAGTGGTACAAAGAAGTAGGCACTACAGTTTTTATACAACTACACAGAAAGTATAGATTGAAAGCCACCTATTCAAACTGGTACATTTGCCCATACACATAGATCATTCTCTGATTTTTTTGGAAGATTATGCACTACTAAATTTTAGTAATAGTGATTTCCCTTGCCTATTATATATTCAGTCTGTTTCCACATTAAGATAGTGTAGGCAGGAGGGAGGGATGGCATTGGGAGTTATACCTGAGGTAAATGACGAGTTGATGGGTGCAGCACACCAACATGGCACATGTATACATATGTAACAAACTTGCACGTTGTGCACATGTACCCTAGAACTTAAAGTATATATATATAAAAAAAAAGATAGTGTAGGCCAAATTCTTTCATTCCTTCACCACATATTAAGTATACAACAGTGTGTGAAGCCGCTCTGTAAGAGAAACATAAAATATAAATCTTACACTCAAGGTGCATATTCTGTAATGTGGATTATAAAATAGAAACCCAAATAAGTAATACATTGCCAAGATGTCCCGATAAAATGTAAGAGGAATAGAAGAGACAGAGATTTCTTCTTCTGGGGTCAAAGGAGTAAGAGCCAACAGAGGTAGGCTCTGGAAGAGAAACAGGACTTAGATATGCTGAGATTAGGGAGTAATCAAAGTGCAGGGTCTAATGTGGGAAAAAGAGAAATAGCTCTGTTTGTCTAGAACATAAGTGTACACAGAGAAGTGTGCGTGTAAAAAGTCTGGACAGAGAGATCTGAATCCTGTTCATGAAAAGTGAAGAATAACATGCTATAAAGTTGTCAATATTAAAGACGTATCAATATTTTTAGGAAAGCAAACCCAAGGTAAAAACTGTGTAAATTAATGCAATAATAGTTTAAAAAAAATCTTTTGCCTTATTTTCCTTCAACAGTCTGAACAACTGTGGGGTGAATACACTGCTACTTGCCTCTACAGACACCTTCTAGAGGGCTCTAGGACCCAAGTAACAACATTATACAAAGAGGATTAACATTGTTTATATGTCAGGGAATTCCTATACTGCTTGTGTTCATATAAGATAAAAAAAAGTCAACCCAAACAAGAAAATAAGTTTTAGACTGGTTTAATTCTATGTATCAAAGAGATATGCTCAATTCCAATGAATCAAGTGCCAATCATTCAATGGATGCAAAGAGCTGCTATTAGGTTGAACCACATAAAACTGGCAATATTGGACTATATTTGACATATAAAAACAACAATTGCATGTGCTTCAATCTAAGAGCAATAACGAAACTGACTATGACTTAATTACCATTTTGAGTCAACTTTCACCTTTGATCCTACACTGGTTGAGGGAAAGATGAACAAGAGATTTATTAAGTGTGACCAAGTGCTGCTTGCTTGCTGTGTCATGCTCTAGTTTATAGGCCAGAAAAAAGCTAGACAGAAAGAGAAAGCTGAAAAAATAAATGGAACAGAAGAGGAGGCACAACAATAAAAAGAACACAAAGAGAAAACAAGAGATCATAGGGCAGTTGTTCCCTTCAAAAGAAAGGATTTTTTAAAATTGTTGTTTTTAAGATTTTATCACTGTGAATATGGAGAACAGATGTAATTTCTTTTCACATATGCAAATAAATATGCCAGTTACACAGTTAAAACACTCACTAACATAATAGATTAATATTTAATGAATGCTTAATCTGCGGTTATTAGGAACTTTATATACGTTTTCATTAAGTATGAATAATAACGCACAGTTGGTGGTTTCACACCCATTTCTTAAAGGTAAGATTACTGCTCTCATTCAGGGCTATAGAAACTAATAAGGAGTAAGATTTTTTTTTTGAGACGGAATCTTGCTCTGTCGCCCAGGCTGGAGTGCAGTGGCACAATCTTGGCTCACTGCAGCCTCCGCCTCCCAGGTTCAAGCCATTCGCCTGCCTCAGCCTCCCGAGTAACTGCGACTACAGGAGCATGTTACCATGCCCGGCTAATTTTTTGTATTTTTAGTAGAGACGGACGGTCTTGATCTCCCGACCTCGTGATCCGCCCACCTCGGCCTCCCAAAGTGCTGGGATTACAGGCGCCTAGCCAGAATGAGTTAAGATATGAAGCCAGTTCTGACTCCAAAGGCTGTACATTTCCTATCTTATCCTAATATATATAAAATGCAACTCTATTGTCATGCAAGTAGTATTTAAAAAATTTCTGAATGCTTGTCATTTAAATTAGGAAGCCTACAATAATGTATTTCACATTGTATGATTTAAGTGTGCTATTGCTGAGCAAAGAAAATTTAGCATAAAAAGGAATGGGGAAACATTTTATATTCTGAGAAGCACAATAATGTGCATTAGATTTCAAGCAAAAACATTTTAAAGATAATTTGAAATTCAATTCAATAAGTATTTGAGGTTTATTTTGTGATGCACTGCGAAGAGTTGTATAAAATTTCAGTCCCATAATTATCTGGTTAGAGACAGAGGTAAAAGTGGTGAAGATTTACCATTAATAAATGGAACTGGAAATAGGCAAATACCCACCATTTTCACATGTACAGCAGACTCTTGATTAGTCATTTCTTGGTTATCCAATCTTCTGGATTTTCCCAGGTGATGTCACAGCAAAAGAGAAAAAAAAAAAGTACACGTGACATACATAAATTTTAGGTTCTTCCTGTTATGCTAATAATATACTAAGGTGGTATTTTCGGTATGACTTATTTTGTTTTTTAAAAATGTTTATTTTATGTACAAAGAACTAATATGGTTTCTTTCATTGGGTGGATGCCCTGGATAATCCATTCAAGGAAGATTACTTAGTCCAACTCAATGAAACCTATGTCCTTCACGAACTGACGGAAACACTGACGGCACATATTGAGGCTGTGTTTCCGGATCAGACTATGCTGGTTTGGGCAGATGTGAGAAGAGCGAGAACCCTGGCCCAACTTCTGTAGGTGGCTCCAGCAAGGCTGCTGGTGACCCATCTTGCTTTCGGGAGTGCAATGAGGCAAAAGGCTTTGTTATGTTTAACATAGCCTATATTTGACATATAAAGCATTTTTTTTTTTTTTTCTAAGAAGCTCAGCAAGGGTTTTACTCTATCCAGCATAGTTTTGGATTAAACATTTTGTATGGAGAATCTGAAGCTCTCCTACAAGAACTTATATGGTATTAAGAAAATTGAATAAACTGAAAATGGAGTACATATTTGCAAAGAGCACTTTATTGCAAGAATATTTTATCAACACTTTCTCTACATGTAAGGATGAAGTTTGTGGGAAAATTATGCATTGCTACTACTGAATCAATATAGGAATATACAGACAGAACAAAGTAAGGGAAGACATAACACAAAAGTCTAATTTTTCCTTCAATTTTCTTATATTAAAATCTTTAATTTTTTTTGTTTTTGAGATGGAGTCTTGCTCTGTTGCCAGGCTGGAGTGCAGTGGCGTGATCTCGGCTCACTGCAACCTCCGACTCCCAGGTTCAAATGATTCTGCTGCCTCAGCCTTCCAAGTAGGTGGGATTACAGGCGCATGCTGCCATGCCCGGCTAATTTTTGCATTTTTAGTAGAGACGGGGTTTCACCATGTTGGCCAGGATGGCCTTGATCTCCTGACCTTGTGATCCGCCTGCCTCAGCCTCCCAAACTGCTGGGATTACAGGCGTGAGCCACTGCGCCTGGCCTAAATCTTTAATTTTTAAATATGATATGACTAAGATATGAGCTGCATTTGAATTGTGCATTGTGTCTAGCACAAAATAGGTATGTGACAGTGTTTATTAACTGAATGAACCTTTTAGGCTCTGGGTGAAGTTTAAATATATCTGTTCATCAAACAAAAGGAACCAGTTTTTAAAACATCCCTCATTATTCTAAGGTTTTTTGTTGTTGCTGTGTTGGTAGTATAAAACTCAGGGAAAATTACTAATCTATTTTTGTTCCATAATGACTTTACTTTTACTTTATTTCAGATAAGTAAAATTTTATAATTAAAGCACTATTTAAAAATGGCAACTTACTTGAAGGGGAGAAAATATCTGACTTTTTCTTAAACTCTAGTAATGTAAGTTGGACATTAGATCTGTGTTCTTTATAATTAAAAGGTATTATAGCAGATACATCAAATTTTCTCAAATTCTAACATTTGGTCCCTACCCCCTTCCATTTTAAGTCCATGAAATTACAAAATGTCTTTTTCTTCCTCTCTCAGAAAGCCTGCTAGTAAGTTGATAGTTTCATAATTGATGGCATCTTAGAATTAAGTACACATGATTTCCAAATAGTAAGATGATAACTTGCAATTTTTCACATCTGAAAAAGAATGTATCTGCATATGAGTGTGTGTATATATATATCGATATAAAGATGTGTATGTGTATATCTTTATACATATATATACACAGATATATATACACACACACACACATATATATACATACACACATACAGTATATAACTCAGAAAACATTTGATCACCACCCTCAAAATATAATGGTAGTTTGGGGATTAGTAGTCTTTTTTTTTTTATTATTATTATACTTTAAGTTCTAGGGTACATGTGCATAACGTGCAGGTTTGTTACATATGTATACTTGTGCCATGTTGGTGTGCTGCACCCATCAACTCGTCAGCACCCATCAACTCGTCATTTACATCGGGTATAACCCCCAATGCAATCCCTCCCCCCTCCCCCCGGGATTAGTAGTCTTTAGCTTAGATGATTGTAGTCAAGTCTAAGTAGACCTTCCTTGGTCTAACTTTTTTCTTTCATAGTCATCCAGATTTCTAACAAACAAGGTATTACAGAAGCTGCATGCAAGTCTATTTCTTCATTCATAGCAATCAAAGCCTAATTATTAAATGCTTACAGCTTTTCTTTGATGTTTAATATGTGAAAAGTGGTGGAGATTTCTCAAAGAGCACTATTTAAATAAAACCATCTCATTAGCTTGAAAAAAAGGAAGAGTGTGGAGACTGTGGAAAAGTACTGTAGAATTTATAAAAATACCACATAATCTGTGAAACATTTGAAAACCTCAAGGGCAAACAATGCACGCAGTGAAGAATTAAACACATTTTAATATCTAGGAATCTAAGATATTTTTGTTACACATTCAGGTAGTAGAAGCCTTCTCTAGTCTCTATCTCTGAAGTATGGCTCTTTTTGGAACATACATTTTGAGTTTACAGGGGAAAAAAGTCAGTATAAGTTGGTAAAAGAATGATCATCTTTCTCATCATCTCATCAAATAAAAACAAAGAGTGATAAGAAATTTGATGGCCAACTTTAGGACCTTTTTTTTTTTTTTTTGGTAAATATACCAGTAATTCATAAATACTATGCAAATTTCAACTGAAGAGCTTTCATTCTTCCCAGTCCTCGCTAGCAATCTGATCAGAATTTATCTTTGTTCAAAGATAATCGCACATAAAGTGATACTGCAGTCCTTACACAAAAATTGCTCTAAGGTCTATATCATTTAAAAAGTGTAAAGACTCAGGTGTAAAATGTCAGCATTCTGGCACTATTCTAAGGAAGACACGGAAAATTAGGGCAGAGTATTTTTAAACCAATAGGCTTGTAAACCTATACCTGGTATATAAAGTTCTGGCTTACTTTGCCAATGGTCATCTGTTGCAGATGCTTCAAGAGAAGAGTTGCTGGAAAAAACACATCAAGTGTAGAAGACGTGTTCAAAAATAGAAAATACTGCCCTTGAACTATGAACTCTCTTCAAAGGAAGTTTTAACATTTTAAGTCTTCAGAGTCTTTAAGTATGAACTGGAAAATGTGGAAACTGGAAAATAATTACTTTGTGTGCTTTTTGTATGAGATTAAGGTCTCTACTATAGCAGAGTTCTTTACAAGGAATATGTAGGACAAGGCTAAAGACTGAAGCAAGAGGTAAGAACTTCACTTAACACAAACTTGACAACTCAAAACTTTATCACGGTATTTCATTCTGACGATAGTTTACAAGTCAATTAATGAAAATTGATTGGTATGTCTACATGAAAAAAATTACCTGATTTAAAGCAAGTCTTAAAGTATCTGAATGCAAACTGATTACTTTTAAAGGTCTACTTGACTCTGTCTTACAGGAAAGTAAAAATGATTAAATTCATGAATATAGCTTTAAAAATTGTGACTGCTTTAATTGTGATACTCGCAGAAACATGTAAACTACATTGATAAGGTAAGAATATTGTGAATGCTAAACTGTGTATTACTTACATAAGAAGAGGCATATATTACTATAATATGGACACAGTATCAGCAACAGTACCAAACATCCATGGTGAATCCATTTTTCCTATACTTTTTCAGTAACCTGTATTATTTGACTTTCTTAAGCTTGGGTTTTTTTTTTTTTTTTTTTTTTTAATGTTTCTTAGGGTGATTGGCACATGCAAAATCAAACTGTAAGTTCATCTTTTCTGTATGGTTGTAATAATTTTGGGGGGCATTTAAATAATTTTCCCTAATTAGATTTTCAACTCACCGCTGGGGAAAAAGAAACACACAAGCTGCAAAGTGAAACTTTCTCGATACAGGCATAAAACAAAAATGAAACTAAATAGCAAAGAGTGGGAGGGGTAGAAGAGGAAAGAGGAAAGGAGGAAAGAGGAAAAAACAGATTTCAAAAGCTAGTTATTTAAAAATGGGCAATTTAAACCAATTTTCCTAAATGGTAAAGCAGCTACGGAGTCAGAATTCTGTAGATATTTATGTAAATAAATAATTTTAGTGTTTAGAATTTATTCCTCTATCCTTCCCACGCTCACTGCCTCTAATATCTAACAATATTTTTTCAAGATAAGTAAACCACATACACAGCACATGGAAACTAAGTAATTTATACTGACAACCCTTAAGGCACTCTGAGTTCTTCTGTCCTTGAATTTGTCCTAGAACAACAGCATAGGTGACAAGCAATACCCAGAGATGCCGGGCTTGGATGCAGGCTGCCAATAAAAACTAAGCAAACTGCTTTAAGAAACGGTCTGCAGCATGATCTAACTTCTCTGACTTAAAGGAAAAAAAACAAAACTATAAAAACTAGAGAATTAAATTATTTAAATATAACTTAGCCATAATATTCTAGGCTTTTACTATAATATAAATTTTTGAATCTTAATTTTCAATATTTAATTTGTTATAAATCTGTAATCTAACTTTTATCAATTCATAAAACATACCAGTGATAATCCCATTCTATAAAATCCTGGGTAAAGCTCATGTGCACAAAATAAAAATTGATAATCTTTATTATTACCCATAATAAATGTTTCCTAATCCTAGTAACACAAAGCTTGTGGCTGTCAGTAAAACTGAGTCACACAGCGACTGAATGAACAACAAAATTGAATCTTAGAGTGTTTCCCCTCAACCTGGAAAGAGACTTCTGAAGGTACTTTGTTTTTTCTTAACATCTACATGTAAAACAAGAAGCTCTTAAAATTAGAACATATAAAATGTAATTTCTGAGACCTAAGACTCTTCAAAGTTTTGCACATTCATTTCTTCACAAATTATAAAGAAGTTTTGCATTATACTGGATCATTCTTTTATTTCCTAAGTTTGTATTTTAAAATGCCCAAAATTTCAGTAAGATACAGAATCAAATAAGAATCACATAAAGTTAGACAAGAGAAACTCATTTACATGAACTGTACACACTTACCCTGAAGGTAACCGGACAAGGCACACCAGCAAAAGAAAATTCTTCCTGTCTGAGAAGTACTAATATAGCACAAGGTGCAAATGAGGGCGGTTCCAAAAGCCTTGACTAAGCCCTATGCAAAAACCTTGTGACGCACTGCTGCACAGTACTTTATATATGCTCTTGGTTACAGCCTCGCTAGCTCTGAGCTAGTCATCAGTCAAGCTACATAACATTATCAATTGAAGTTATGTGATGATTAAAGAGAAGGTAAATCTGTACTATTAGAACTGGCAACTGGCTCTGGAAAGAAAAGAGGAACCTCTACACTAACACTTAAAAACATTCCCTTCCTCGTGGTTTGTCAGTGGTTTGTCAGTGCACTTCTGATATGTGAACTTTTCTGTATATTCTATTTTAATACAAAGTTAAAAAGATTAGGTTGCTGCTGCCAGGGCTGGAGGAGGAGGATGGGGAATTATTGCTCAAAGGATAGAGTTTCAGTTTTAGCAGATGAAAAGAGTTCTGGAGTGGACAGTGGTTATGGTTGCACAGCAGTGTAGATGTACTTAATGCCACCAAATTAAATGCTTAAAAATGGTTTAAATGGTACCGTTTATATTATGTATATTTTACAATTAAAAAAAAGATTAGCTCACTTAAAGTTCATAGACAAAAAGACAAGATATATGCAAATTTGGTCAAAAGACTGTTAATAGTCTTTAGCAAAGGGCAGTGGGATTTAAAGTAATTTTTATATTTTCCTATACTTTTAATGAGACCAGCCATAAAATCTGAAAATGAAAATTAACTTCTATTTTTAAAAATTTTGGGAAAAAGTTCCTTCCTGTTAGAAATAAGAGCAGTCCAACTGTCGTAAAGAAAATATTTTTATTTTTATTTTTTTAAAGAGAACTAGTCTTGCTTTTAACCTGAGTAGTAGGGTGGCAATATGCTAATACCATGTGTCAGGACCTGATAGATAAGTTATGCCACGGGCTGTGGGAAACTTTATCATTAGGAACATGGCTACGCTACACTTACGTAAATAAATTTTTATCATCGGCTTTCTCTCTACTGCCCTCAGAGAAATCTAGTCTAGGTAATATTTCAGTAATCAAATTTTGTGAAGTATCATTCTCTATTAAAAACAACATGAAAAAATTTTTTAATTGCTGTTAAAATTGGTGTTAAAAAGCTATCCAGGCTGGGTGCGGTGGCTCATGCCTGTAATCCCTGCACTTTTGAAGGCCGAGGCGGGTGGATCACCTGAGGTCAGGAGTTCGAGACCAACCTGGCCAACATGATGAAACTCCATCTCTACTAAAAATACAAAAAATTAGCCAGACCTGGTGGCCGGTGCCTGTAATCCCAGCTACTCGGGGCAGGAGAATCACTTGAACCCGGAAGGCAGAGGCTGCAGTGAGCTGAGATCGTGCCACTGCACTCCAGTCCACGCAACAAGAGCAAAACTCTGTTTCAAAAAAAAACAAACAAAACACAACAAAAACCCCAAAACCAAAAACCAAAAAACAAAACTATCCAAATCTGTATCTACCAAATGTGAAACTTTTAACACTGCTATCTTATTTTAATAAAATAATAAAATTCATAATGAAACACTCCTCTAAGAGGATAGTCTATTATTTCTAATCAGTAATGAAGACTCAAGGGCCACAAAAGGGTTCCATTTCTAAAATAGTTCTGTATTATATATGGAAATGATGACTTAAATGTCCTTTAATATTACTATAGTTAACAATGGTAAGAATTTGAAATGTATCACTTTGAAAGATGATTCACAGATCACTTTCAACAACCAAGAATGTTGAAATGGGCCAGGCGTGGTGGCTCATGCCTGTAATCCCAGCACTTTGGGAGGCCAAGGCGAGTGGATCACCAGGTCAGGAGATCGAGACCATCCTGGCTAACATGGTGAAACCCCCTCTCTACTAAAACTATATTCTAAAAAATTAGCCGGATGTGGTGGCGGGCACCTGTAGTCCCAGCTACTTGGGAGGTTGAGGCAGGAGAATGGTGTGAACCTGGAAGGTGGAGCTTGCAGTGAGCCGAGATCACGCCACCACATTCCAGCCTGGGTGACAGAGTGAGACTCTGACTCAAAAAAAAAAAAAAAAAAAGAATATTGAAATAATAGTTCTACAATCTTTTTGGAGTGCAATTTAGAAATACTATTAAAAGCATTAGCAATATACATTCCCTTTGACATACCAATTTTGTGTCTAGAAATTTTTCCTAAAGAAATTAGGCGGTACACAAAATTAGCTTCCAGGATGTATACTGCAAATTTGTTTTATAATTCTGGGAAACTGGAAACAACCTACATGGCTGATATTTAAATGTTCACGAATACAGAAGAGGTGAATAAACTGTGATATATACATAAAATATAAAATTATACTGCTCTTAAAAATTATTATGAATAGCTAAAATGTATTGTGTTTACTATGTGCCAGATGTCTCTAAGCACTTGATATTCCTTGTCTCATATAATACTTATAAACAACCTTAGAAGGTATGTGCTAGTATTATTCTCATTTTACTAGTGAGCAAATTAAGCCTTATACTTGACAAGTGGCAGAAATGGATTCAAACTCAGTTCTAACTTCAGAATCCATGTTTCAGATCACTGCACAGTACTGCTCCATGAGCTGAGTATTTACAGACATATGGTCTACTATTGATTGAAAAAGGTTATAATATCTACAGCAAGAGACCAATTTGCGGAGGAAAAATCTTTATACAAGTATAGGAAAGTTTAAAATAGAATACATAAGACAGTATTTGTAATGACATTAAGGGGCCATTTTTACAACCTGAGTTTTAGAAAATAAATGTGCTCCTTGAGAAATTTAAATAGCATGTTAAAAAACGTCATAGGAGTAGCACCTATAGTGTCCATAATCAGAAAAGAAAGCTAAAAATCCAGTCAACATCATATAGTTGGATTGTTTGAAACAATGTTTCTAACGGAGACACAGAAGCAAGGAATCCAGCCCGCTTAGTGGGCTCCAAAACAAAACACTTCATGGCATGGAAAGAAAGCTGGCTGGTATCCTATCAAAAGGAGTGTTGATCTCTAAGGGTAGGTGGTTTGGGCTCTGCTGGTGTGTGTGCCTGTCCTGCTAGTCTGATTCTAAGAAGAGGGAAGAGGGGGAATATGGATGTCGCTTCCTGCCTGTAACAGACTTCATCTTTTTAATTCCACCCAGTGTGTACGTGATAGGAGTGAGGTAGGAGTGAGATAGTGGGACTGGTGGGGTGTCCCTGGAAGAGGGACTAACATGTATCAAGCACTTTCTTGCTTTGTCAAAGTCCCAGAAGCATGCAATGGCCCTTTATATACATTGTAATTCAACTGGTATAATTTTAAGAGAAAAACAATACTTCTCCCTTTTTATAAAGAATCTGAAGTCAGGAGAAGGTAACACACTTACTACTTATGTGACTTAATGTACAAGAGTTGGGACACTTTTTTTGTTTTTCTTTTTTTTTGAGACAGAGTTTCACTCTCGTTGCCCAGGCTGGAGTACAATGACGCGATCTGGGCACACCGCAACCTCCCCCTCTTGAGTTCAAGAGATTCTCATGCCTCAGCCTTCCCCAGCAGCTGGGATTACAGGCATGCGCCACTATGCCCGGCTAATTTTGTATGGGAAACTTTTTGAACCAAACTATATCAGGCTGTCTCTGGGCAACACATAACATGAGAGGGCTTGAGAAGTCTACGAATGAGTAAGAATGTTTAAAAAATATGCCACAAGAAAGGAACAAGGACACAAGCAAAGCACTGAATCAAAGATACTGAATTTTATTTCTAACAGCTCCAGGGCACTTAATTTTTTTTTTTTTTTTTTTTTTGAGAAGGGATAGAAAGGATATGGAAGTACAAAGTTGTAAAGACAGGTTCTTTAACTGCACAGTGGACTTTCACCTGTGTACACAGTAACTGGGCCCTGTTGCCTTGGAGTTTCTTTACTCATTGACATAGAAACAGAAATCACTCCTATCACTTCTAGTGGCAAACTCTGGATCTTAAATTCATATGCCAAAGAGCACAGCACCTGTACAGAATTCACATCTTTGGAAGATATTTTTCCCTCCCCTTTTAACACTGAAACTGAATGTCTTTATCCATGGAAAAAGGGATATCCATTTGTATTTCTGAGTAACTAGTTAAGAGCTTTTTAGATAGTCATTCAATCAACTTGAAAAACTAAAAATTATCACTTCGTATTTTGTCATCAGAAGATTTCTCAGAAATTCCAAATAATGAAAAAACAAAAAGCCCTCAGAAAACCAAATATATGAATTTAAGCTTTAATAACTTATTATTTGTCTTTAACATTGGGACAGGGAAGTAAACAAAGGTATTGCATTAATTAAAAGTTGCATGTAAAAGAAATCACATCATAATCCCGCATAAAACCTGTAGCAAGTATTGTTATTTCTCAACAATACAATCTAGACTTACCTACTAACTTATAGTTGGGCTACTATAATCCAATTACCTTTCCAACAAGGAATGTATTTTTAAACTTAAATCGGATGACACCCTAGGAAGTTATTCCAAACAAAACAATGAAGCCACCATATAAGGAAGGCAATTTAGAAGATGAGATGCAATAGTCTCTATACTGACTCTTGCGAAACTTGTTCTTGCTAATTGCTGCATGATGTAAATAGAAAGATGATTTTTTTAAACATGCAAAACATCAGTCTAGGTATGTGAACTTCTCTTCAAACTTCCGTGAAGACAACAGTGAATTGACTTCAATATTATGACTGTTCAAAATAGAACTGAAACAAGGTACTATAAATGTTTACATGAATATGGTTTAAAATGTATAAGGAGCAGAAAACAGAGATGAAACAATCATTTACTATATTTTTTGAAAATGAACGGCAAATGAAAATTTTCTTTTTTTGTTTTTTTTTTGAGACAGAGTCTCACTCTGTCACCCATGCTGGAGTGCAGTGGCACGATCTCAGCTCACTGCAACCTCTGCCTCCCGAGTTCAAGTGAATCTTCTGCTTCAGCCTCCCGAGTAGCTAGGACTACAGGTGTGCGCCACCACACCTGGCTAATTTTTGTGTTTTTAGTAGAGATGGGGTTTCACCATGTTGTCCAGGCTGGTCTCAATCTCCTGACCTCATGATCCACCCGCCTTGGCCTCCCAAAGTGCTGGGATTACAGGCGTAAGCCACTGCACCCGGCCCTCATTTTTTTTTAAATTTTCTTTAAAAAAAAAACATAGAGACTGGGTCTCATTATGTTGCCTACGCTGTAGTACGGTGCCTATTCACAGCCGTGACCTTACCACTGATCCACTTAGGAGTTTGGACCTGCTCTATTTCCAACCAGGGCTAGTTCACCCCTCCTCAGGCAACCTGGTGGTCCCCTGCTCCCAGGAGGTTCCTATATTGATGCAGAACTTAGTGCAGACACTTGATTGGCACAGTACACTAAAGCGTGGAACTCTTGGGCTCAAGTGATCCTTCCACCTCAACCTCCCAAGGACTATAGGCGCTAGGCCAGTAAGCCCAGCCTCATGTTTTTTATCATTTAAGACCACTGCAAAAATTTATCCTAGTAGATGACTGTGAGTGAGACTGATTGCAGCCTTATGAATTTACAGACATATGTATATGCAAACTGAGGAGAACCTATGGTTCCCATCTCA